GATTTAAAAAAAATTTAAGAACTTGGAAGTGTTTAGCTTGTTTTGATTTAATATTTTAAGATAGTATTTTTTGGTTACTATTTTTTTTGAAAAAGGATTGGCAATTTGAATTACATCAATTTTATTGGTTGGAACTAGGTTGTCTGCACTGTAGTTATTTATATCTATATCTAGAATGTAAAAATAAGTGTCACCAAAAGAAAACATGCATATTTATATATAGTATATACTATATATAAATGTGCATGTTTTCTTTTAGCAACACTCAAATATCAAAATCTATCCAATCTTGAAGTAGAGCTTTAAGAGTCAAAACTTCTAGATGCTATTTCAAACCTGTCAACAGGTCTTCTGCAATGTTTTAATCTGTAACTTTCTAGGCAAAGTTAACGAGCTGTTGTTTATCAACTCATGCCAACGAATTGGACACTCTTGGTATAACCACCACAACTTTTTAAAGAAAAGTATCTTATACTATAACTCAAAGCATTTACATACACATATATGTATATTTTCTTTTTTAGTAGCAATTGTTATCAATCTTTTGATGAGAATATACTGTTTTTTACACTTTTTTGAAAAATTTTGCAAAGACCAAAAGAGTAAAGTATGAAAGAAGATTTTGGTTTATAGGTAGCCTTAAACTTTGGTAAAGAATGTGTTAAAAACTTGCTTGTTGTTCTCCTTAAACCAACTATTTTTAACTTTATCAGCAGAAACAGAACTTCTATTAAAATTTTCTGTACAAAGACACCATCTTCTTGCTAGTTATTTTATACAAAAATGCTTTTAACTTGTATACTGAATATATAGAGAAGTCTGGAAGAATAAAAAAAAACCTTGACCTTTGTAAAAACTATTATTGTAATTGTTTCTTCTACTTTTTTCCAACAAGTTTCTGCTTTCGTTAGCTATAAGTTTGGTACAAATAATCATTAGGAGAGTATACTTTGTATATTATATATAATTTGTTCTAATCTAATCTTTAATTTAACTTTAATACTAAATAAATTTATTTTTAGTTTATAAAAATCATTTGAATTAATTATACATAAAAAATCACTAGTAAATTTTAAATAAATCCAAATTTAATTACTTATTTAATATTACTGTTTACAAAAATCATTTGAATTAATTATGCATAAACAATCACTAGTAATTTTAAATAAATCCAAATTTAAAATACTTATTTAATGTAGCAGATCATAATGAAATCCAGATCAAAATGAAATTATAATAAAATCTCGAAAAATAAAATTTTTTGGGGTGCATTTTTTAGGAATAGAGGTTAGGAATAGGGGTTAGTTTTAAAGTAAAGTTATAATAAACAAGTATAAGTGGGTTTTAGAAGGTTAACAGGTTAAGTAAAAATGTAGATTTCATTTTAAATTATGATCCGCGACATTTAATATTACTATTTAGTAAATACAAGCTCACAATTGCTACAACTTTGCGATATTGCTTAAAAAATTTAAAAAAAAACTATATATAGCTTTGTAAAAATTTTAAACCTATTATGGATTTATTGTACAATATTATTTATAAGTATCTTTATATTGTTTTTAACACCGCCATTTGGTAAAGCAGCAAATCCAAACTTATTAAATTTATCAATAATTACATTTTGAATATTAAATTAATAACTTTTAGAAAAATAAATAGAACAATGTAAACCACACTAATAAATATTAAAATACCCAAAGAATTAGACTTATTATACAATTAAAATTTACAATTTTACGAATCTTATGGTTACGTTTCTAAACAAAATTTATTATACTTCAAGCATATACTTAATTTTTATAAAATTTATACATGAATGATACTTGCGCCGTATCTTATGCAAATTATGATCTCCATGCTAATCATGTTGATAATTCAAATCTGAAATTCATAATCTGCAGATTAATAAGTAAAAATTATAAAAATGACATGCTGTTAATAGTAATATAGTCCATTTATACCTATGAATATTATATTTAATGCTTATTCGCAGATCGTAATTTCCACTTTCTTGTCACGACTACGTCTTTTTTCGATTTACCCTTTTCCGTAGATTGTGAAGAGCCATCACCCTGATCTTCGTTGGTCTCCGCAGGTACCCTAGGACTTGGCGGACGATCATTTTCTGGAGAACTGTCATCAGAGGCATCGCTACCAGGATCGCAGTCTTCACATCTCCAGACATAACCTCTAATATTTATAGGAATGTAATAAATATTATTAATATTATTAATACTAAAAAAAAATAAAATAAAATAAAATGCGCACCCGGTCGGCATGGTACGGCGTGCAGGATTCATGCACGCCAAATGGTACCATTTTTTGCAGAAATTGCATCGAATCATACGATGGACTTTATCCCTTCCTTTTAACAACATTGAATTTCTTGCTTTAGTAGGAGTAATATAAGTTGCAGATGGTTGGTCAGTTGAAGGCGGAGGCACAAGATTGCAAACCGCACAAATGGGTTGAGGAATTTGTGGGCGTTCCGGCACATCTTCAGTAACAGTTTCTTCTGATTGTTCTGAAGCTTTTTTAGATGGCCGCTTTCCTTTTGAAGTTTTTCGACGTTTTTCTCCATCTAGTTGAGTTTCTTGATTATTTTCTTCTTCTACTTTTCGTCTTTTCGATGGTGAAGCTTCGTGAGTAACAGGTGTAGTGGTGAAAAAACCAGCAGGTGTAGGAGTAGCCGTAAATAGCGGAACAGTGGAAGGTACAATACTAGATGTAAGATATGAAATTTTAGCGACAGTATCATTTGTGGGTGAAGTAGCAAACCCTCCAGGAACTGATGTCACATGAAGAGGATTCAATATTCCTTTCATTTGTGGATATTGCCCTATACCACTACCACCAGTAGAAGGACCAGCGATAGCTCCATTAACAAAGGAAGTAGCAATAGAATTAGCAAGATTGCCACCATTTCGTACTGAATTAACGCTAAGTTGGCCATTAGCAAACATTGCAGGTGTAGAATTAATGAAACTGCCGTTTATTGATGATCCACCAATATTTCCGATCCTATTGGAGTTAAACAGATCATTGATCGTATTGACATTGACGCCTGCATTATTGGTGGCAAATCCATCTGCACATTTGGCTAATCTATTGGCAAGATTATTTGTACCAAAGATAATGTTCTGATTGTTATCAACTATATTAAGATTGCTGCTATTCTCGGTAGACATGATGTTTTCTACTGGATTTAGGAGAGTAGCAATGCTTGTAATTTTGTTAACATTAAATGGAAATTTTCCAACATCTACGCCATTTGTATAAATGTTCGAAGCGGGACTAGTAAAAATACTGCTAGCAAAAGTTTCACTTTTAAGAGAAGTGTCACCATTTGTCTGTCTATCTCCAACTGCATCGATTATATCGACAAAACTGGTATCTTGGACACCTTGCATTGAATCAAAACCAGTAATATTATTATTACTATTTACTGAATCAGTATTCTCTGGATCATTGTTAGAAGCTTTACTTTTTTTCTTAGAGTCATTAATTTTGCTCTTAGCAGGACGTCCTCTTTGTTTTTTCTTTGCTGTGGGACTAGGAACATCTTGTACGCTTCTAGTAGCAGTATTGTCAGATCGAGTATCAGCAGGTTTTTTATCCTTTTTTTTAGAAGATCCGGATGTCGAATTTCTACTAGTAGTACTTCGTCTTTTTCCCTTCTTAGTCTTTTTAACTTTTTGCTCCTTTTCCCTCTGTGATACTATTTGTTGTATCGATTTAATGCCTAAAGAGGTTACACAACTAGTATCAAGTTTGTTAATCTGGATTTTTTGCGCAATATCTTTTGATTGATCTGTCCACTGCACTTCAGGCGTTGTTTCAAGAAATTTCAATATAGAATTAACTGCAGAATTATCGATAACTGAAGGACAAACCTTTGAACTACTCTGAGCGGCATTAAGCGCCGGATTATTTGGAAGATTTATCATTGATTTCGATAAAATAAGTAAACTTTCATTTACTTGTTCCAAATATTTTTCAATAGCAGCATTTTCTTTTTTTAAATTTGTTATCTTATTCGCATAGTCTTTAGTTTGATTTTCATATTTATCCTTTTGCTCTCCGAGTCCTTGAATTTGAGAATTCATTTGAGCTATCTTTCTTCTACATCTAGCTATACGTTGTTCTCTTCGTCCACGGTATTTGGCATACCTGTCTTCAAATATTTCAAGAAGACCAGTGCCACTGTCAGGATATGATTTAATACGCTTTAATCGTGCAGTGCTTTCTTCCTTTCTCACTTGCTCAAGAAATTTATCTCGTTTTCGGTACCACCTTTCCCATTCATTGAGTCTTGGTGGTCCATGAGAGCCGTGCTGAGGGCAATACTTTTTGAAATTATTGAGATCAGTTATATGCGGATAAGAAGATATTGTAGTAAATAAGCTTATTTAGAAAAATAAAATTTATATGTACCACAAAATAAGGATCTGAAATTTCTGGATCTTCTTCAACACATTCCAAAAGATTTAATGATTGTGCACATGTAACATGAAGCCACGACTTACATTCCCCTGCGTCACAATGAACAGTAGCGCCTTCTTGTGAATCACCTGGACCACATACACAACATGGCTAAAAAAAAAATTGCAAACGATTTATGATTACATTTTTTTTTCATTGAAATTGATCCGCCTTTATATTAAACAACATAATCACCTTGTTCCAATTTTTTTGATCAATTATTTCTATTGTAATCTCGCTCATTTCTGCTGTTTTCCCAATCCACATGCCAGGCATCCAGAGAGCACATACGAGGTGAACCCAAGTCCCAGCCTTATCACCATCCTTCATTCTACGAAATGCACCACTTTGTTTAGGGCAAAGTGCGCATGTCTATTCATAGTTAAATCATTATTAAGGTGACATTTTGAAATATATGCTATATACACATATCATTAAATATTATGCGTACCACAGTTTCACCAGGCTTTGCCAAACATTTATCGCAATACCAAGGTTCATCAGTAGCTGGTAAATGCACGATTCCATAACATTCTTAATTGTAAAATAATTGAGCAAATTGAGTTTTTTTTTTAATATCGTGTGAAAGCACGCGTAAATGAACAAAATTTTCTATTTACCCTGATGACAAACAACCTCACAATCATCCCCATCACAATATACTAGCATGTTATCTTCAGTTGTTGAGTTTTCAAGACATATACAACAAACACCTGGATCGTCGAGTTTCTAAGAAGTATAATAATAAGTTAAAATGTTCGATGTCATATTGAATAATAAAGTGATTAATTAAACAGATAAACGAGTATATATATATATATGGTAAATCGTCATACAAACCCATTTTTTCAAAAATTCTCTAATTTTTTCTTCATTATTTTCTTCGGGTGTAGGCTCGTTATCTATGTCGACAAAGTCGGCCTCAGAAATTTCGGTAGGTTCATTAATGGTGGCACCGAAGTGTCTATCACTAACAACAGTATCATCGGTATCGGTATTAACATCGTCTTGGCCACTGCTATCTTCGTTGACGAATTTATAATCGGAGTCACCAGGGTCAGCCTCGTCAAAAAGATCTTCGGCTATGGCCCTCATTTTAACTTTACGTTTGTTAGGACCGCGGTCCGCGACTAAAATATGATGTTTGATAGATTATAAAAATTACATAAAAAAGGTCCATGTGAAAAAAAAAAATAATAAGTAAAGGAAAGCGTCGAAAAATCAAAGTATTTTGAATAGTGTTACATGTTATTGTATAAGCCACCATAAACTTTAAAACTTACACATTTTAGAATATAAGGAACCACTTTCGTCCGTAACCACCTCATTTCCAGGGGTTTTTTGTACTTGAGAAGCCTTCTCGACAGGTTTGACGGTATTTCTGGGGGACTTACGGCCCCTCTTAAAGGTTTTTTTATCTTTGGTGTTCATTCCGGCAGATTTAGAGGTATAGTTCGGAGATATAGAAATTTGAGGATTGATATGTCTATGATCAACAAAACACATTGTACGTATTACCGAAAGTTAATTGTTACTGCGGATTTACGAAATACCCGGCAAAAGCGATATACAACGTTTCGAGTGCCAAAAGTGGCGGTGAACATACTACATTAAATAAACGGAATAAAAAGTAAAGAATACATTTAAGAAAAAGAGAAAGAAAAAATTAATTCTCGCAAAAGTTCTAATATCATCGTATAAATTCTAAATATATGCGTCGAGAAACATTAAATAACAATGAGCAAGAAATTGTTAAAAAGAAAGCCGACAAGTTGGCCGTCGGAGATTGAATATTTGACTAATAATATTTATGAGCCAGTTGCTTTGAAACCAGAGCAATATAGTTTGCCGTTGGCAAAAGAACACCCGAGTCATCCTTTCACCTCCTCACCTTTACCTCCGGTCGCGTCCGATCCAGCAATGCCTAATTCCTGGGTTAAGATCAAATCTTTAAAAGAACGAAAAGACCACCCAGCTTTTCCAGGTTGTGGACTATTTGCGACAAAAGAACTCAAGGAACTTTGTCTTATTATTAGTTATACTGGTATAGTCACGACAAGAACAGTTGGAGGCGAAGAAAGTAGTGATTATGTTTTAGGATTTGGCAGTCAACTATGTATTGACGGTTTGAAAAAAGGTACGCACGTTAGGTCGGGTGTAAAATATTCGGTGGCTATGGTCACAAATCATGTGATTTCGATATTACTGGAAAATTTTTGATATGCAAAATGAGGACCTTTGTTTTTTAAGTTTATCATTATGTAACATCATCGTCACAAATCATAGTTGCTGAAAATTTCGCGCATTTATTTTTTCTAATTTTTTTCTGGTATAATATATCCTCTAGGAAGCGAAGCAAGATTTATCAATGATTACCGTGGAATCCTTTCAAAACCAAATGCAGCATTCCACGAATACATTGACTCTCAAAGCGGACAGCTCAAAATGGGAGTTTGGGTCATGCCAGGAGTAGGAAAAATTAAAAAAGGTGAAGAAATCGTTGTCAGCTATGGAAAAAGCTTCTGGCGAGAAAGAGGTTTTTTGAAAGAATGAGTATTGTTATGTTAAGTCAAAAATAAACTCATTTTTGCATCAAAGATACGTAATAATTTTGAATTCATGCACGTGAATGCATAATCGAGACCTTTCGACTTAAACCATCACACATTTAGCGTTAGATCTCCTCATAACATTGTTAACCTGAATGTTCCGAAAAAAAATACTTGGGTCTCCCAAAATGAGATCTTTATATGTTCTTTTATTTGCTTGCTGCCATTGACATTCGCATACTTAAACATTATCTATTAATTTATTTTTCCATTATCGGCTTCTGAAAGAAAACTTCGATGTACCTGTAGCAGCATAAAAATCGCTCAACGAAATGAAAAAGCTTTCTAGTGCATGAAAAACAATGCATTCAGAAAAGTCTCGAGAAAATTATTACTTTATAAAAAGAAACTTCTTACGAGCATGAAACGTATTAATCTATAGTTTAATACCAAACCTCATTTCAATAATTCATTTACGTAGTAAGCTCAATGCACTCTAAAAGAGACGAGATCGGCAATTATCTGAATGTGTATACTGTACAAAAGGGAATTTTGATTGAAGAAGTATCAGATCACGGGTTAAGATAATATAACATTTTGATTTATGTAATAGAAGATACAGAATTCGTAATAAATGAAATGACAAATTCCTAATGAAATATATCAAATTCATCTATACAAATGAAAAAGAGGTAATGATTTATAAAAACTTTTTATCAGAAATAAAAAAAAATTATTTATCCAAATTATTTACCATATGACCAATCACGAGACTTAATGGCAATCACTCGTAACGAAGATAATTTCAATATATGGCAAAAAGCATGTTAGAAATGGATTTCCTTATTGTTTGAACAATATCTGACATTTTAAGTTAGTCTTGTAGATCTCAAAAGAATTAAAAATGGTGTTTCTTAAAGAAAGGTTTTAGTTATGTATCATCGTTCATATTTTATGAAACAAATATTAAACAAACCCATAAGAGGAATAATTTATTAAGTAAACATCCATCAATCTTTCGAATATTGAAGTTGTTTGCTATTTGTGATCATGTGATCATGAATCTTATGCGGAATTGTTATTGTTATTTTACCGGGATAATAACCGTGTTTGTATGAATGAAAGTCAGGGACCAGAACAAATCAATCCATATTTTTTTAGGATTTTGAATATAAATATATCGATGTCGTTATAGAATTTTCAAAGAGAAAAAGCAAACTAAGGAAGGTACTGATCGAAATGCAAAATAAAAAATAAGGGCAAAACCACCAAATAAATTCAATTAGAAGTTTTCTGACAACTTTGTAGTAGATTCCAATAGGTTTATATTAGAGGTTGGAACCGGTTTTAATAATTCGGGTTTATCACATGAATTTTGTGATATTATAGAATTTAATCCAATTAAAATTTAATAAATTCTAAAATATCACAAAATTCACGTGATAAACCCGAATTATTAAAACCGGTTCCAACCTCTAGTTTATATGTCGCTTTTGTGGGCAGTGTTAATTATGATAATAAAGCCTATGTAACTGCTTAATATGGTCTATTTTAATAAAGAAAAATAAAACCTTTAAAGATTAAAAATAAAAATAAAGAAAAATAAATGTTGAGGCTGGATCTCAATTTGAAAATATAAACCTAATCCACTTATACATTTTTATTATCAAAGCCAACCTAAATTCTAAGCTAACTATAAAAAAAAAAAAAAAAAAAAAGCTAAACATGCACTCAAAAATTTTTTGAAAATTTCATATTAAAGTGTGATCAAGCTTTCTTGACTGCTTATGATGGGGGTGCCAGTAGAAACCAATTTGTTTTTAGTAAGTTTTTTTTTAAATTTTAAATTAAAATACCTCAACAACTATTAAACCAAACTTGATAAAAATTTTTTTATTTTAATTCTATAACTATATAGAATTAAAGTAAAAATTTTTTATCAAGTTTGGTTTAATAGTTGTTGAGATATTTTAGTTCAAAGTTTAAAAAAAATTTACTTAAAAACAAATTGCTTGGTTTCTACTGGCACCCCCATATACTGCATTAAACTAACTCATTTACTTAATATATACTATGCTATTATGTTTGTGCCCTAAACTTTCGTTTTTATTAATTTTGTCTTTCTTCCCGAAAATATTACATTAGTTATCTTACAAAAAAAAAAAAAAAAAAGAAAAAAAAATGCAGCATGCCAGTGTACAGAGAGAATATCTAAATTCCGATTTCTTTGAGGTATAGTCAAACTTGTTTACTCTTATAGTATATAATGTATGCAGTAAGTTTTCTCACATAATATCCCATCAAATTTTCTAATATCTAAATCGACCAAATCACAAACATGTGAATTCGTAACTTTTATATCTTAATTATCATCAAAATCTACTTTATTAAGACCGTCCAAGTATATTTTTAATATATCATCAGCCGTTGGTTTTAAAGCACGGCTATTTGTGCGTTCAATGTGTCTCTGTGGGAAATATCTGGTGATAATGTGAGCAAGACCGTAGTTCCGATATTTTCCTTTACCACCTAAACATGCGTAGTAGGTAGTATATAGAACAGCTGCAAGAATAATAAACATGGTAAATACGGAAATGGGTTGAAGGAATGGTTGTTCACGAGTTGTAAGCACTTCAAAACTTCCTAAAATAGTGGTTGAATGTAAATAAAACTAAAAATAACCAATTGGTTTTTATATGTACTATATTTTACCTGGTTTAAGATGAATAAGACCAGTTGCACTATTATTTGTTCCAAAAGCATTAGATGCTACTCCTATTTCAGATCGGAAATCCACTTGCCATTTCATGGTTCCGTTTAAAAACACATGTCTCTTCCAGAAAAATGTGAATGCTCGTTCACGGTTGGCATCAAATTGTGTTAAGCTATAAGGACTTAATATTTGTGGTGTCTTGAGTGAAGAAAGTACACTGGCTGAAGCTTCCTTGTCTGACAAATCGAATGGATTCCATATCATAAATTGCATCTTGGAAATTGTCGATGCATTGAAAAATGAATATTTAACGAACATAGCGGATTGGAAGGCGGTCCAATTTTTTGGTTGTACTACTGGCTTGGCAAGAAAAAGTGGTGTAGTTGTTTGAAAAATATAGCATCCAGTAAACCATCCATTATATAAACTATCACCAGTAACATTCACATATTTAATTAAATTGGGGCAATTTATCGAGGTATTACCATAAATTGTACAGTTAAAATTGTATTGCACGTCGTCCGTGCATAAAGAAAAAGCTGGTGGTGGAAGACTATCGACATTTTCAAAAGATACCGTTGTATAAGTAAGGTTTGATCTACCTATATCGACTACTGTATTCGCGATAAGATATATTATGAGAATAATTGCAAAAAAAACTTGAAGAATAGTTGTTAGGAGCCTTCGGAAATTCTTTCCTGCCATTGATTATTTATGAATTATATAAGAAATCGGATTTAATTAAGAATATGTATTTAAAAAAAACTTAGGTAACAAAACAAAGGAGATGCCAGCTCTCTGTATTAACGGGTTAAAGAAAGACAAGAAATAAAAACGAACTTATTGGGCTTTTTCAGAAAAATGGGAAGATGAAATCCATTTTGTTACTAATAAAAAAAACCCTGATTTTATATTGTATCTCATGAAATGGATATTTCCATAATAGTTCTACAAAGGTTTTATATCGATTGTAGTCAGTAACATCACATTGGATCGAATATCAGAACATCTTTCAATGCATCATCCTTTACAAACGAGTACAATTTTTAAAGAACAAAGGTAATTTAACTACATACTTATTAATCTCCCAAATATAGCAAATTATTGTATAACGTTAATCTTTGAAATTGTTCTACATTAGGGCATCTTTCCTTTTTTGAAGTGGAGGTAAATCATTACGTAGCCTAACGACTTTTAAAAAGTGTTTTGATTGGCTAATCAGAAAAAACTCTGGTTGGCCAAAATTAAAGAATTTATCTTCGTTACTTCAAAGATTTGTATCTCTGATATTTTTATGGTATTTCGTGGAATGCTTTATTTTTAATATCTTGCTTACGTGAAGCTCGAAACATTTATTCGAAAGAAAATATTATTTTTATTAGCCAGTATGCTCTAAAAGTTAAAAAAAATACATAATACTATTATCGTCCTACGTTTCGGCACGATCAGAATCGCTTCTAATATAAAAGTTGGTGGAACACTTGATCTAACTGAAACTTTTATATGAAAGTTAAGCTTCGAAACATCACCTGAAAAAATTTCAGATGGCTTATATTAGCCGCGCAACCAAAATTCAGCGGATCGACCAAAATCAGGGGTCGGAAAAGGCCGGAATTAATAAATTCTCCTACACATCAATTTGAAGATCGGTTATACAATTGATAAAAAAATTTTTTATACGTTTTACAATACTTTTTTTAAGAAGCTCGCGTAACTTATCTCTGCTATGAAACGTGATCTAGTTTATTAAACAAACTTTGAAGCTTTTGTACTATATTTTAATAATTTTGGTTGAATTTCTTTGAATCTCACAACTTTTTTATTAAGTTTTACTACAAAAAAAAATTTCAAAATTTAAATACAGCCAAACTCCTTTATAGTTACACCTTTGGGATACAAAATACTGTGATTATTATTTTTTTTTTGTAAATGCCATAGTTTAAACATTATTTATAAAATAGACAAAAATCTATATTTAAAGATTTTAAAACTATATTTGTGCTATTAAGAAGGCATCCAATATAATATTATACTATCTAATTTTTTATGTAGTGTTATTATTAATTATTTCAAATTAGTTAAATAGCTAGAGTAGGTTAAAAAAACTTAAAATTGTAATTTCTTTTTTATAATTTGTAAAGAAGTGTAATTGAATTTTAATAAAGATAAAGGCATGATCTCACTTTTAAAAATTAAAAAAAAAGGGTGTGGCGACTTAGAGTAGTGGTTAAGTTGTCACCCCCAAGCGGCAGGTCTAGAGTTCGAATCCCAC